CACTTTCCACTACATAATGTTGTTGTTGTTTGCTATCAACTAAATAACAATAAAATGATTAATTAAATTAATTTTTTAGCTAATTAAATAATTTCATATAAATCTTATTAATATTTAATTAATTAGTTACCAGTGTTATCACATGTTATATAAATTAGTTGAACAACAAAAATTAAACTAGATAAGTTTATAAGGTTCATTATTATAGTTAATTATTTAATTTATAATAACAGTACATATAATTAGAAAGTTTATTGATATTTTTTAATTGCTACTATTAGTTGTAGTTTATATGTTAATATATATTTTAATATATATTTTTATGGTATTGAGTTTACAATACATTTAATTCACTGTAAATTACATTTCATTGTAAATTTTGTACAAAATGTGGTATTTGTTTTTCAGATGTTTTAAAAATATGTTATTTTTTTTTGTTTTAATGTAAATAAGTTTAATATGATTTTAAAAAATAAATTAACCATTTATTTAGTAATAATACATTTTAAATTTATAATAAATAAATATTGATATGGTATATATATATATATATATAATGTGTATTAATAATTAATTAAAAATAAAAATTAATATACTTAACTAACTTTAAATTTAACATTAGATATTTAATAAATTAATAATAAAACATTATTTTATAAAGCTAACTGGCATCTATTGAATATTATAACAATTATTAATACAACTAAAATCTAATGTAATTGATAAAGATTGTATAATAGTTTAAAATATTAACCTTGTTTAATTTTAAAATATTTTTTTTGACAAATAAAATATGTTGCTCCAAATAGTTGAATACAAGCAAACAGTGGAAAATATATAAGTTTAAAAAATACAATATTTATAAACATTTTCCATAAAATCGTTCAAAATTATTTAAATAATTTTTATATTTTACTCAATTATGTACAATAAAATCTTTAGTTTAATTTTAGTTTTAACTTTATATTTATATTTAAATATAGTATTTGTTAAATGCAATAATTTAGTAAACATTAATACTATTAATGATGAGGTAATTATTAATAAATAAGATAACAATTATTTTTATAGAATTATAATTAAAATATATTTAATTAAAAATTATATTTAATTTATTGTTTATATATAAGACTGAAAAACGATTTCCGTTTCAACGACAAGAAGAGAAAGAAGACATCGAAGATACGGAAGTCATTGAAAACTTCAAAACATTAGACAATGAGTTAAAGATGGTTGAGGTTAGGCGTCGACTAATGCAAGCACTGGGAGGTGTTAACGATGTCTACGATAAGACCAAAGTATACGCATTGCCGACCAAAAGTCAATTATTGACATTATTGAGACGATTGCAGACATCGCCGGCCAATCCAACCGAAGCAAAACCCGTCTTCAAGACAGTGGCCGATAGTTTACAAAAAATAATCAAAACTATGGAAATGGATCCCAAACTACAGCGATCTAATAGTGCCAACAATTTAAAGGAAATGCTTTACACACCAACCAAAACATTGCGTACAGTATTCACATTAATATCGATTTGGTAGTGATTTTATTATACAAATATATAGATAATATACAAAAATATTTATAAATATTAATATAATTTTATAATTATAATAAATATGTTATTTAAAAAATTCTATTACTAATATTAATAAAAAAAATCATAATAAAGTAATAAAAAATATAATGAGTTTATTAACCAAAAAAATTGTTAAATATTATAAATATTTTAAATTTAATACTTTTATACATTTATATATATATATATAATAAATATTATACTGTATTTACAATATTTTATACAAATATAATTAAAAAGTTATAAATTCTTTATTTTTTTAATTAACTTTATTATATTCACATTAATTTAATATATAAAAATTAGACATTTACATAATATATATTTCTAAAAATCCATGAAAGTATATATATATATATATATGAAATTAATTATTAACTTAGCATAAATATGATAGAAATTGTCAAATATAATAAACGCAATATTGAAATCTATACCTAAGTATAAACTTATAAAAAATTTGAAATAGGTCTATTACCTAAATATATTAACTATGTAGTTTTTATACTGTAATTAGTACAGGAAAATTACATATTTTTTATATATATATCGTACAACTTGGATGTAATTTTTATGGAAATTAGTTATTATTAATAAAAATGTGTTAAAAAACATACACACATTTTATCATTAATGATTCAAATTAATTGTGGTATAAATAGTGTGTTTAATAAAAAATATAATTCATGTGGTATTAATTTTTTAGATAAACAAACTCGATATACCGTTTTAAGGCATCGAGTTTCTAGTATTATCTGTTATGACTATCAATTGGGTATTAGTGCTATTGTCGGCACTGTTTGTTACAGTGGTTGTGGCCAACAATGATGAGGGCGATGGCGACAACTTTCTCAAACAGTTAGCCGAAAAGGTTTGACCAATAAATTAGATGGTTATTAATTTATTTAAATATTATATATTATATTATAATATCTACAATGTCTACAAAAGTTTTTAAATTTTTTTTAACTTAATTTCTAAATTTTATTTTTTAAATATAATTATAGTTATAAATAATTAAATTATTTTGTTTTTCAAAATTATTTTAATTATTATTTGTTTTATAAAATGAAACAATTTTTAATTTAATATTAATATAATATTTAGCATCAAATCACAACATTAGACGACAGACAGATCAATGAAGAGGTGGCGGTCTTCAAGAACTTGGACCGAACCACACAAATGCTTGAAGTAAAGCGTAAACTCATGCAAACATTGGGCGGCGTTACCGATGTCTACCAACAATTGGGTATTAACTCATTGGAGGCCAAGACCGAGATTCTCAGTATTTTACGTCGTGTCCAGAATGTACCGACGGAACAGACAGAGGCCAAGACTGTCTTCCATAAGGTGTCCGACAGTCTCAACAATTTGCTTAAGTTTATTCCCGAAGATGTTATGTCACAGAAGACATTCTTCGTTCAGGGAGTTAATCTCAATCGACCGCAACATCAGCAATGGCGACCGCAACCCGAGTGGCAGCCGCAGCCTGAATGGCAACCGGCCCGACCCGAAGCCGAATGGAGACCACCGACAAGACCAGAAGCTGAATGGAGACCACCAACACGTCCTGAAGCCGAATGGAGACCACCTGCAAGACCAGAGGCTGAATATCGTCCGCCACAACATCGTCCACCACATTGGCAACAACCGGCTCCCGAGTGGCAGCCATCTCACAACTGGCATCCACAGGGCAAACCCCAACTTCAAGACTGGGAGGTTCCGCCGAGCTCTGAGTGGCCAACCATTACCATTGGTGTTGAGCCAAATCCTGGCATAAAAACCATCCATAAGCTGCTTCATCCAGTGCTTGACGCCGTCAAACTCATCAAATGTTTGGTCAGTGTTTGGCTGTAGATTCAGTGCGGGTGGCGATTGTCTTAATTATTATTTTTTGTAATTTTTATATTTCTTATTATTTTTAAAAAAATATATAATTTATAAGTTTTTATAAATTGTTTATAAACAAAATACTTCTAAATTTAATAATAAACTAAATTCAAAATTAAATATATTTTTTTGTAATTTTTATTAAAAATAATCTATTTTTTATTATAATTATATTCATAATTTTTTAAAAATATAACTTATAATATTGATAACTACTACAATAATTAATGTATAATTACTGTACTATAAATCAATAATACAGTATGATATTAAAAACTTGAGAATCTATTACCATAAATATAATAATATATTATATTAATAATAAATTAGAATATTATTATTTAACTTTTTTTTTAATATTTTTTATTAAATTAAATTATTTTTTTAAAATTATTGTTTTCCCGGCCAATAGTGAGTCCAAACAGTGCCATAACAATTACTATCACAACCGGCACCCTTTATTATAACCAGTGCATTGTATTTTTTAGAGTACAACTCCTGTACCCCGGTTTCACATTTGCCTTTTGTAACAAATTGGTCACTATATACCATTAGCTGAGCACCTTTACATTTATCCTTTAGTATAGTTCCCAATGAATTGTAGGATTCATTACCTATAAAAAAAATTGTATAATACTTATTATGTATTAAATTAAGTGAACTTTTCAGTAAACTGTATACAGAATATTACTTACCCTTAATATCATTGATAAGTTGTGTTGAATTGGCCTCAATTGATACTTTGTTGTTATCTTTACCATAATAGCCGTTACCATTGGACAGTAAGTTTTGTGCCCAAACGTGATCGCATTTCCATTGATTGTGTTGATCGATAACATCCCATTGAATACGTTTGAAATAACCGTCACATTTGTCAAACTGTCCGTACATTCCCACTGTATTCTTGCCATTTGATTCTTTCGATACAATAAATATGTATTTAAAATATTTATTTTTAAATTAAATATTTATAATCAAATTATTAATAAACAAAAAATATTAATTGATCATGATAAACTTACTTATATTAACTAGATAATCGTGAAATGCTAATGTATCATTTAGATCATTATAGATCACATTTGAATAATGTTTGTGAGCAATAATAATTTGAACAAATAGTTCAAAACATGTTAACAATTTGAACAACATTATCATTTTAGGTGATATTATTAAAAGTGTATATATTTTTTTAATAAATTAAATCAAATAGACCAGAATATATATTTATTATACATAATGTATATACAGTATATTTAAGCATTATATAAGTAGGCTAATTGTAACAGTTTTAATTAGCAACTTTAATATTTGCTATTAAACTATATTTTATAAAGTATAACATTTTTAAAAAATATTATTAAATATTGATAAATAAATTAGATTTTATTTAATATTTATGAAATAAAAATACATAATAATCTAAATTATGAATTAATATTTAATTATTAAAACAAATTTAGTCAATTACAAGTAATTATTTTTTTATTCAATTTGATCATAAAATAATAATTTTTTGAAAATACTATAGAAATTCACCCGAAAATGTGACCAAATTTCTATCAGTTTCATGCAATTTGATTGTATGTAACTCAACATTTGTAGGCAATCTTTTGGAAACCTCTATCCATATATAGACGACAATGTTTTCAGCCGTCGACACGATATTATTATCCAAAAAATATGGTACATCTGTATCGATAAACTTGTGGTCAAACGGTTTCATAATAGTCTCGTCAATGATTTTCTTGAGAACTGCAATGTCTACCAGAAACCCAGTAATCGGATCTACTGTTCCCTTGACAGTCAACTCTATCTTATAATTGTGTCCATGAATTGCATTACATTTGCCAAAAGTTTGTTTATTTGTTTGTTGATCCAGTAGTGGACTATTCATACGATGTGCTGTACTAAATGACTCGATACGGGTTAGGTATACCACGGGTTGTATTGGTTTTGTAGTCGACACAGACATAACTTTCTGTTATTTGATGTATTAGATTAAGATTTTTTTTATTAATAATATTTACTGTAGTGTTAGTTAAAACACTATTAAAATTAATGTTTATTTTTTAGAAATTAATTTATTAGTTAAAACAGTTCACAATTATTAACTGGTTTCATACAAAGTAACAAATAATAAATCATTAAATCATAAAATTGCACAAAAAARATTAAATATATTTATTATTTTCTATTATTTAATGCTATAAATTTTTTATAATTTAAAAATTTAAATTTTTTGATGGAAAAATTTAAACTATTGTAAATATTGCATTATTAAATATAACTAGTAGTTAATGCATTATAAAAACATTATCATTAAATTGTGATTTATAAGTTAATAACAAACAAAAAAAGACAGGTTTTTATTCAAGGTTATATTAATAAATTTTTATTAATACTAAATATTATATAAATGTAAAAATAATTATATTTAACTGAAAAAAGTTAATAAAATTTTTTATTGTGATATATAAAATCAGCAGAAAAAACAGGATATTAAGTTTAATAAATCCTTTTTACAAATAGATTCTGTATATCAAATGATTTATTTAAATATTAATATAAATTACTCATTAACTTATTACGAAATTTATACTATGATAAAAGCAATTCTCATTAATTGATTTTATTATTATTATTATTATTATTGTTGTTATTATTGCTAAATTTTTATTATTTTTAGTATTAATCTAGTGTTTAAAATAACTACATTGTATTGAAATATTTAAATTAAAACATAAAAGTAAGTAATAAATTTACAGCAAATGAACTTTTTAATATATATATATATATAATTATATATATACAGACCATTCAAGTGTTTAAAAACTATAAAATTTTTATTTTAAAAGTGTTTAATAGTGTAAACAATCTGACATAGATTTATCTAATATAACAACTTTTACATATAATATACATAATTTATTACTACAATTATTATTTAAATACTGTAATTAAACACTAGTGAGTACTGCAAATATAAAATCTCATTATAATAATAATAATATATTTAATTTATCATAATTTACTTACCAATACAATAATCGACTATTACAGCAGGTAGGTTTATTTCTATATTACAATTAAATATTATATTTATAGATAAGTTTATATTAATAATAAATTTGTTTTATATATAATATATATATATAAGTATTAACTACATATAAATGTATAATTTTTTTTAATAAGATTAATGTGCCTTTTAATTATCAATTATTATAGATTGTGTGAATTTTAACAAATTGCCAACAATTTAATATTTTTAATTAAGTTTTTGTTTTTATTCTTCTAGTAATAGATAATTAATCATTAATTTAGTATACGATATAATTTTTAATTAAGTTATTAATTAATTCATTATGTTAACTACAATGTTAAGTAATTTCTATAAATTATATTAATAATTAAAATCTGTGTTTACTACATATGCTATTTCTTTTTTTTGTGTTTAATACAGTATATATTATAGTTAACATATTATAGCTTTATTAAACTACAGTATAATATTTTTATCTTTTAATAAATTAAAATTGATTAAATGATTAATAATAATACTACTAATAATAATAGTCACAATTTCATAAAATATAGTAATACTACTATATTAGAGTAAAAATTATTATTATTAATAAACTTATTCAAAATCTAATGACCAAATAAATATCTTTCAAAGTGCAATTGATAAAAATATAATAAATTATGATTTTTAATTTTTTTWAATTGAAAGTAACAACTGTTATAAACATATCTATTAAAATACAATCATCTCCCGTGAATAATGTGCTTATAATCAAATTGTACTTTTAATTTTGTACACTCAATTAGTACTTAAATCTATTTATCAATAGATAACTTTATATAATGTTATTAATAATTTTCTAGTAATACACTTGCAATCATTGCACAAACATTATAAATAGTAATATAATATAACGTAATGTAAAATAACTATTTCTAGCGGTAAAATAAAAAAATGCCATATGTTTGATGATTAGATGAGATTAATTATTATTAATTTTATTAATAAAATAACTGCAAATTTTAATGTGACTAACATATAATGTTTTATTGTAATAAACAAACCTTTTTCTATAAATAGTCAATTAATTTAATGAATTTATTAATTTATTACAAAACTTATTATTTGGAGTATAGTCTTATATATTTGTTATTCATTTATTTTTAAAAGTAATTTATATATATATATTTCATTTAAGAATTGACATTAAATATGACAAAATTTTTGGATAACAACGTTAATGGCAATGAAAATTGCAAACAAAACGTTTATGATATCAACAATAATGGCATCGGTGGTGATGTCCAACAAGTTAATGGAGTTCCTAGCAAATCGGTTACCAATGAACAGGTCGTATCTAAAATTAACGGTGCAAACGGACTGAACGATAAAGAGGCACAATTGGCCCGATTGTCTCAAATATATAGAGATCTATTGGAAACTATTGGCGAAAATCCTGACAGACAGGGCTTACTTAAGACACCGGAGAGGGCGGCAAAAGCAATGTTGTATTTCACGAGTGGATATCAGTTCAATCTGAATGATATTTTGAATGAAGCGGTCTTTGATGAGGACACGGATGAAATGGTTATCGTTAAAGATATTGAAATGTTTTCATATTGTGAACACCATTTGGTACCCATCTATGGAAAGGTATCTATAGGCTATCTGCCCAACAATAAGGTACTGGGATTAAGCAAATTGGCCAGAATTGTGGAAATGTATGCGAGAAGACTGCAAGGTATGCTTAGATTTACATGTTTTCAAATAATTAATATTTAATAATAAAATGATATTTTTATAGTTCAGGAAAGACTAACTAAACAAATAGCCGAAGCATTGGTAGAAGCCATTAATCCGGCCGGAGTTGGTGTTGTGGTTGAAGCCGCGTAAGTGTCATATATTTTGAAAAGTAATTAATAAATATTTTCATATATATTAATATTATGATTATTGATTATACAGCCACATGTGTATGAGTAGTCGTGGGGTACAGAAAATCAATAGCAAAACAATAACCAGTTGTATGATCGGAGAGTTCAGAGATAATCCCAAAACTCGAGAGGAGTTTCTGTCACTTATATAAGTTAATAAATACAAATTATATATAAAAAAATCAATTATCATATTTTAACTAATTTAATTTTTTTAATATTATATATTAATTTTTATAATAATAAAACTTTTATCTGTTTTCATAAATATAGTTATTCTTTTAAAATATTTTTTTGTGACAAAATTTAGTTATTTTATATAAATATAGAGTTTTTGAGATATTTTAAATGTTTTTTTTTTGTAATTATTAAATAAATATGTATATTAAATTATACTGTAATTATAAAAGAAATTATATGAATGTTATATATTTTATAGATATGCTTATCAATAAATAAAATTGTTGTAATTATTGACATATTTTTGTTAAATTTATTATACACATTTAAAATAATTGCTTATCATGACTTATTAATTTAATTTAAAAAATAAATATAATTTAATTTTTTTATTAATTATATAATTACTATAATTAAAAACTAAATTTCAATAAAATAATTTGGATTATATAAACTAACTTAATATTTTTTAAATATTTTATTTAAACAATTCTATTATGAATTACATTTTTAAAAAACAAAATTTAACAAAAAATATATATTAACAAGATAAAATATAACAAGTAACTTTATTATTAATTTTGTCAAATGTATTTTAACAAGAATTTTAAAAATTCCAATATTTTTGTAAATAAATATATCTATAATTTGATTAAAATTTAGTTAATTTATAAATATTTGTATTTTTGCAATAATTTATTTGGACCTTGATCAAACACATTATTATATTACAATAATTGCTATATTATCATATTTTATGCCTACAAATTGTAGCCTAAGGCTACAATATACGTGACGTTGATATTGCATACTAATTATATTTTTATTTTTCATTTATTTTTCAAAATATGATTATTAATAAACATAAATAAAGTTTATATTACATGATTTCATAATTCTAATTAATTTTTATTCATTTATTTATATTAACTAATTAATTACTAAAAATTCAATTATTAATAAATTAATAAATATAAAATGTAAAAAATATGCAAAAAAATAGATATTTATTTGTAAAATAACATACAGTATAGTTATATCATACAGTATTTATCAATTATTTGTGATCACAGTTATTACAATTAGAGGTTTTTCCTATTTCTATAGGCCTGTAATGCCATATCTTTTAGTGTATTTGCCATAGATTTACCAGTCATGCGAACCATTGTAGAGAACAGTCCGTCGGGATTTTGTAGCAATAGGTGTGGTTCATCAAACTCGACTACCTGTCCGGCATTGAGTACCAATACTCGATCCATGTCCACAATTGTATGCAATCGGTGAGCTATAGTCAAAACTGTACATTTAGCAAATTTTTCCCTAATTGTTTGCTGTATTAGTGAATCGGTCCTAAAAAACATAATATATTAATAAACATTATTTGAGTATTACTGTACTTATGACTAATTAAGTAAATAAATTATATGATATTTTGTATTTTGATAATTATTAATCTAATAATACACAGTGTATACAGTAATAAGTTAATAATATCAATGTTTACCCAAATTAGTAGTAATTGTGTTTATCATATGATATTTGCAAAAATAAGTGTAACATTTATGACATGTTAAAAGTTTTTAAATATATAATAACTGCTCTTAATAATACTTTTGATAAGATGATCAAGTTCATTTATAATTATTTGAAATATTAATTATAAAAATTTATGTTGTGATATAATGATAAGCATTTTGCACTGCAAACAGTTTGCACCCATTTAATATTGTCAAGTATATTAAATAAAATTCAAAAATCTAATTAACATTATCATAATTCAAACCACAAAAAAATATTTAAGAAATTTATAAATAAATAAAAAAATTTTATTAAATTTTAAAACTATGGCATAACTTACTTAGGATCGACATTAGCTGTGGCCTCGTCGAGCACTAGTATATTGTTTTGTTTGAGCAAAGCTCGGGCCAGACAAATGAGTTGCCGCTGACCTACACTGAAATTGCTGCCGCCATCGGCTACTTTGGCGTCGAGACCGCCGGACATTTCATGAACAGCGTCTTTAAGACAAACCTCATCCAACACTTCCCACAATCGCTGATCATTGTGATCGCCAAACGGATCGATATTACGCCGCACGGGTCCGGCAAACAGTACCGGATCTTGCGGTATGATAGAGATCTTTGAGCGCAAATCGGTTAGACTTATTTGTGAGGTATCGATGCCATCAATTTTTATATAACCGGTCGGCAAAGTCATTCGGAACAGTGCCGCTATAATAGACGACTTGCCGGCACCGGTTCTACCGACAACACCGACTTTTTCGTTTGAATTTATATTGAATGTCAAATTTTTAAGTACCTGTGTTTCATCATTACTGTATGCTAGGCTAACATTGTCAAACTGTAGAGATCCGGTTGAGGGCCAACTACTAGGAGGTCTATTATTATCATGAGTTGACTCCAAGTTCGGCTCTGTTGGTAAATTACTAAACTCGGCCACCCTTTCCACTGATGTCATGTGACTTTCCAATTCAACAGATTGTTTGACACCCCATTGAAAGGTACCGCATATGGAAATGGCCGACGATATGGCCAATCCAATGGCACTGGACGTACTGTTTTCATAATTGAGTGTCATTAACAATGTGACAGCTGTTAAGTACAGCCATAACAACCAGTCGAGTACTATAGCAAACCATCGCGAGGACGACAAAAACAGAAACCAAGTGGCCGTATGATTGTCTTGATATATATCGAACTGTTCCTCAAATGATTGCTGAGCTCCAAAAGCCCGCACAGTAGTCAAACCGTGTAACGAATTGGCCAAATGAGAAAACACTGGCGATTTAGTAATACCTTCGAGCCGTTTGAAGCTCCGACCGCTCATCAGATAATATTTACGTAAATAGACAAATAGTACAATCAATATAAATGTCGGCACAATTACCCAGTAGTCTATTAGTGCGATCAGTATGAGTACACCCCAGAGCTGGAAGAATATCTCGATTGTGTCGAAGGCTGTCTGCGGTATCTGATCGTCGATGAGTCCCATATCGCGTGAACACCGGTTCAATAGTATACCAATTGGATGATTATCGAAAAAACTGATGGATGTCCTTATTATACTATTAAAAAATTTGTTGTGCAATTTAATTGATGAGCGCATACATATCGTAAAGAAAACGGTTGTCCTAATGAGTGACATGAAAAACAATAGGCCAACCATTACGGCAAATGCGATGATCAGTAGATTTTGATCCCAATGTTCAATGAGAGTAACAGTTAAACCCTGTTCTCGTTGTGTCCAAAGGGATAGGAAATAGTCGCTACCGTTAAACAGTAGTTGTGTCAATACATTTGATGAAATCAATGTAAATATTAAGAAGAAACCGCCGCCAGATGTCAAATACAGCCAATATATACGCCCACCGACTGATCCCTTCACATGTATTTCATCTGATTTTGTCTGAACTTTTTCGCCTTCAATAAAATCAATTGTTTCAATTGATTTCTTGGATACATTAGATTCACTTCTTATTTTACGACTATCACTATCAGCACTGGTAGGCATTACTATATAATCATCAGTTTTATCTAATTTCTTATCATTGTTTGTTGATTTAATAAACTCTATCCCAGAATTTAACAATTGTTGATAACTGCCCACTGCTTCTGTATGGCCATCATTGAGGACCAGTATTTGATGAGCATGTTTGAGAAACTGTAGCTGATGTGTGGCCAGTATTACCACTTTATTTTTTAGATAACCACAAATACATTTCTCAAATATATGCTTAGAAACGGCTGAGTCTACTGCACTGGTAGATCAATAACAAGCCGAGTGTCAAAAAATATACAATAGGATTGTTATTATTGAGTATCACATACCTGAGTGGATCATCTAATAAGTAAATGTCTGCCTCATAATACAAAGCTCGGGCCAAATTGATTCGTGCCTTTTGACCGCCACTTAATGAGACACCCCTTTCCCCGATTATAGTCTGATCACCTATAGATTTATCAAAGCATTTATAAATATATTTTTATGAAAACCTATTAGTCTATGAAACAAACCAATAAAAAGTTCACAAACCGTTAGGAAATAATTGTAAATCCTTTTCCAGTGCGCACACGTGCAACACGTTTCGGTATTTTGTTTCGTCATATGCGCTGCCAAACAGCACATTATCGCGTACAGTGCCAGCAAATGACCAGGGTTGTTGACTATTATTTTGTGGTTATATATAAGGGGCATTATTAGTTTAAATTAAGTGTTTAATAATGGTTAGTTTAATTAAAGGCATACCTGGCATAAGCTACTTTTCCTCTTACTTTTATATGACCAAAAGTTATAGGAATTTCCGATAATATGCTCATCAAAACTGAACTTTTACCGGAACCTACAGGACCTGTTTATTAAGCCAATAATTGTTATTTTTTGTGAATTAAAATATATTTACAATTTATATAATGAAAAAAGTGATTGATTACCCACTATAACCATAATCTGACCGACAGCCACCTTAAATGTTATGTCATGCAATGTAATATCTGATTTATTATTACTCCCTGTCCACGAAGCATTTACTTTGTTAAGCCAAACACCCGTAACTTTGTTGCTATCATTTAAGTCGTTTCCCATATCAATATATTTGGTTTTTGTCTGCTTTTCTTCCAATAGTAAAAACTCCTAAAATTAAATTTATAAATATAATAATTTTATTAATTTTTTTTAAAATATAAAACAATAATTTCAAACCTGAATACGTTTGATTGATATTAGCGCCTCTGAACCCTGGGATATAGCGTATGGAAATAGTAGTGTCAAACTGTTTCTCAAACCATTGAACAATGCCATTGACATAAATACTATTTGTGCAGTTATTTTACCTCCATTTAGGATAAAAACAACAAGACATATAAATATAATAATTTTGCTGGATACAAAAAACAATGCCATATTGACACCCCTGAGCAAAGAGGACTGTCTAATTTTGTCAACTTCCCTGTGCCGGGCCAGGGCTACCAGTTTAGCAAATGGTTTTTCCCATGTATACATTTTAATTACTCTCATCGATGGTATTATTTCATTCATAAGTCTTATACGTTCGTCGGTAAGTATAGCTGTCTTTGCTCGCAATTTTGAAAACAGTCGTCCCATAAACATCTGAAATGGTATGTAAACAATAAACACAGAGCACCCGACAAATACGGACCAGTCAAGTGAAAAATATAGATATGATATGACGACAATAGCATTCAATGGACCCGTTATGATGAATGGTATGAATGTAAACGAATAGTCAAAACGGCTGACATCGTTGGATATCAGATTAACCATTTGGCCGACAGTTGTCCGGCTCAGGGCTTTATGGCTTAAGCGTAAGGCCTTTCGGTATATTAAATGACAACACGCTATTCTATCAGTTATAATAATTTCATAAAATAATATAAAAAACATGATAATTAGTATAATTTTTTTTAACAATTATGTTTATAATACAGTAATTAATTAATTTAATCAAATAAAAACCTTAATTGCATCCCCTTTCGGGCCATTTTAAAAAAGTATGGATTTAATATAAAATTATAGACAGCACCAGATATAATGACCATTAGTGTCATTAAATAAAAATTTTGCAAATCTAATTTATCATTTGATTTTTTGTATTTATCTAGGTAGATTATTAAATAGGCCATCGCTATTGGCTGACCAGTTCTAACTATACATTCCTATACAACAAAAATATATTATTATTATTATAAGCAATTTAATAATTGCTTTAGTTAATTATTTTTAAAAAATTTAAAAATATTGAATATTTTTTTCAATTAATTAATATATCATATGTACCGATAGTATAGATAGCGAACCGGCCATAAAATACCAGAAACCAAATGCTCGGATGATAGCCCTTAACAAACTCATAGCATTACCACTATCTTTACATTTGAGTATCTCTTTATCCCATTCACTAAATAATGATAAAAAGTATATTATATTTGATTAAAAAAATTAAAGCAAGTTCACTTTTATTTTGTAGATAATTTTTGTGCCAAATATAATGATAAAATGTTTTTTACAATAATATATTTTTTGTGTATTTTATTTTTTAATACTTTGTGATGTTGTACTGTACTTTTTTTTAATGATTACTTACCGCTGCAATTTTGTGCCTAATGTTTCTGATTCATCAATTTTAGGACATTTATAGAGATCATGTAAACCCAAATCATTTTTATAACCTTTATATAATAATGGATTAATCCACCTAGATAAATTAAATTCATATTATATTTAGTAAAAATGAAAAAAATTAGCAATTTACTTGCAAGTTATTTTTAATTGCTATATTGCATGTAAAGTTATTATTTAAATGTTATTAAATCAAAAAAGGCATTTATTAGCTATTTAAACATTTTATAATTAAATAAAAAAWATATATATTTATATATCAATTAAAACATATTTGTTTGATTTGTTTGCTTAGTTGCAGTTTTAATTCAATAGAATGATAATAAAATCATGATTAATATTTAGCTAGTTAAATTTGTTTTTAAAATCTCTATTGTTTATTCATGTGTAGTGCCCTTAAACAGTGTACGTATACTTTAATTAATAATAAAAACAAAATAAATTCAATATCAGTACAAAATATTTATTTAATAGAACTTCAAGTACTATAAAAATAATAATAAATCTAATGAAAATCTAACTATTAATAATTAAAAAAAATCAATAAATATTTGTAGTTATTTTGTTATATAATATAATTTTTTTTAATACTGGGCAATTAAGAAAAAGTTGACCAAAATTATCAAATATTTTATATGACTTAATATTAAAAATTAAAATGTGAAAATAAAGTTAACTTAAATAACAATATTTTCATTTTCATTTTATTATTAATAATAAAACATAAAATATTAAAATGAAAAATAATTAGTATAATAATTGTATTGATAATTTAGAATTGTTTATTAATTTTTAATTAACATTAGTTATTAGTTAATTATTTTTAAAATTTTCATTTTAACTTTAATTAATTTTCGAAAACATCTGTTTTATAATTAATTAATAATATATAATTAAAAATATTTATCTAATATATATATATATAATATATTGGTCTAACTTTTTTTTGGACTAAACAATAACAATACTTCGATGAAACTTAACTAATTAAACTTAAAAGTCTTAATTATATAATATTAACATTGAAATTAAAAGCATTTTTTAAATATTTATCCATCATTTGGATATTATGATACAATTGTTCTAAGATTAGGGACATATACAGAGATAATATAATATAAGGTAAGTTAGCGCTTATTTAATGTTTTTATGTTTAATAAGATTTTTTAAAAAAATTTGAGAGATTAGTTAAAAATCGAAATTATAATATTTTAGACAAATTAAATATTAAAATATTAATAACAAAATAAAAATGACAAACCAGAATAGATTTCTATTAATAAAATTTGCGGAATCGTATGGATTCTTGTAATTGATTCTTGAATTTTTAATATCCATTAATAAATTATTTAACACTTTATGAATAGTTTGTTTGTTGAAAAAATATTGATTTAAAATATAATGTATTTAATGTTTTTAATAATAATAAAAAAATATCAACAAAAGAGAAACTGTTGCTATAAACATAAAAACAATAGTTATATAATATGTATATAATTTATATGTTTATAAAATAATACAATACAGTATATATTTATAGAAATATTAGTTAGTGCGCTGATTAATGTTACAATTGATTGACTTATATTTGAGAGACAATAGTCGGCATAAAAAATAATATTAAAAAATACATTACTATATAAGCAAACAGCATATGGACTCATCTATAAATATTGACAATTATTATCGATAATCTCTATGAGTAACTAAACGACTACTTGATTCTACTATAAATAATATATTTTTTTGTTATTTATTAAATAAAGAATATTTATGATAAAACATTCAATAGATAGCTAATTGAATTTTATCCACTTCTTAATAGATTTGTTATTATTATTATTATTGATATAATTGAATTTATTTTAAAATTGCATTTTTAGCATTAACCTCAATAATCAAGGATCTAAAGTGGAGTACTAATGTAATAATGTTTAATAAATTATAGATATTTCAAAATAAATTGTAAAAATAAGCACAAATGGATTTACAAACACACAATGATTATAAACTAGTACTGAAAATATCATAATTTAATTTAGATATATATACTGTATCGGTATTATATAATATGTGTATTTATATGATAATTACAGCTAAAAGTTAGTTTTAATTGTTTTTTAAATGTGAGCAACTAATTGCAAAATGTATTTTTAATTATATTAAATAAATTACAGTATTAATTAAATAAAATTAAAACAATTAATAAAATATATATACATTATTTTTTGAATATAAAGTATTTTTACTTTATTTGCAAAATGTAAATGTGCAGTAAATATTAGATTTCCATATATATCTAACAAATTATAGATTTATTAATCTATAATAATATATTTTTATCTTTTAATAAATTTAAAATTGATTAAATGATTAATTTTAATAAACAATTACAATTTTATAAAGTACAATACAATTTATATACAGTATAATACTGTATATATATATATATATATATATATATATATATATATATATATATATCAGAGTATCATATCTATAATATTAAAACACAATCATTAGCCATGAAACTCAATTAGCACTTAAATCTATTTATCAATATATATATATATTAAAGGTATAAAAATAGGATTTTACAGGAACAGGACAGGACAGGACAAAAAAAACACAAAAATTTATTGATACACTTACTCAGACAAAAATATTTTATACATAATTATACTTTAAATTTTAGAGTCACAAATCTTTAATAATATCCAATAAGTTTTTCTAATAAATCTGAAACTGATTGAAACTTTATAAAACTGTTTGTTTATCAGTTAAGATCAGATTTGAAAATTATTAATTGGTTCTTATTATGTTAATTATTTTAAAAATACAAAAAAAATCTAAATGATTAAAACAAATATAGCATAAAACAATTTTTTAAATAATATTTTAATTTTGAGTCTGTAATGTAAATATTATATCATTAGTATAAACTACGTAAAAAATTGACTAAAAAAATCTCCTAAAATTTTTTAGCTTTACTACTGTATATTATATATTATAAATAAACTAAAAATTATAACTAACAGTAATTACAAGACAGGATAAGATGGGACAGGAAAACATAAAATTTTCAATACAACTTACAACACTAATATGTACTTTAAGTACTGTTGCAAATTGCAATAGTTAATATGTGATTAGGATAATAATAATCAAAAAAATATCTATAAATTAACAATTAATTAATTAATAATTTTTTTTATAAAACTTATTATATGGAGTGGTCATTATTGATTATATTTTAAAAAAATAATTTAAATAATTTTTAAAATATTATTATAAAATTTAATAATCGACATTAAATATAACAAAAATTTAGGCTAACAAAGTTATAAAGGCAATGATAATTGCATAGAAAACTGTTATGATATCAACAACAATGGCATCGGTTATGATGTCCGACAAGTTAGTGGAACTCATAGCAAATAGGTTACCAATGAACAGGTCGTATCTATAGCTAACTGTGCAAACGGAATGAGAGATAAAAAGATACAATTGTCTCATATATCTCAGGGATCTTAATAATTAATAATTTAAATGTGTTTTATTACATAAGATATTTTTTGCTAAGGTATCATATAATAGCTAACATATTATAGCTTAAGTAAACTATAATATTATATTTTTATCTTTTAATAAATTTAAAATTGATTAAATGATTAATGCTAATAATAATAATAATAATAATCACAATTTTATAAACTACATTACTGCACTATAAGTTATATCTATCATATGTATTAAAACACGATCATCTCCAGTGAAAGTCAATTAGTGCACAAATTTATTTATCAATATTAGTATTAAAGATATAAACCAGGATCTTAGTCTATTACAGGAACAGGACGGGACAGGATAAAAAATACAAAAATTTATTGCTACAAACTTAATCATACAAAAATATTTTATACATATTTAGACTCTAAATTTTAAAGTCAAAAAACCTTAACTAATATACAATCAGTTTTTACAATAAATCTTAAATATTAAAAAAAACTGATAGTTTATCAGTTAAACTAAAATTTGAAAATTATTAATTTGTCCTTTTTTATGTTAATTATGTTAAAAATACAAAAAATCTAAACGAATAAAACAAATATAACATAAAGAATTTAATTATATACTTTTAAATAGTAATACTTTACTTATACATTCAAAATTAAAATATTATATTAATAAAATAATATTTTAATTTTGAATGTATAAGTAAATGTTATATTAATATTATTAGTATAAACTACTTAAAAATTGACTAAAAAATATCTTATGATAACATTCCTGAGCTTTACTGCTGTATATTATACGTTCTAAACTACAAAGTTTTAACAGTAATTGTAAGACGGGACAGAACAGGACAAGATTTTCAGCTCAATTTTCACCACTAGTATGTACTTTATTGTTGTTTCAATAGTAACTATATAATTAAGATAATAATAATCAAAAAAATTTCTATAAATTTAAAATTAATTCAATGATAACTAATAATTTACTAAAAAACTTATTATTTTTATTTATATTATATGTATTTACAGTATATTAAGTATAGTCATTATTAATTATATTAAAAAAAWATATATATATATATTTATTTATTTCATTTAAGAATTGACACTAAAAATGACAAAATATTTAGATAATAAAGTTAATGGCAATGAAAATTGCAAACAAAACGGTTATGATATCAACAACAATGGCATCGGTTATGATGTCAAACAAGTTAATGGAATTCATCGCAAATCCGTTACCAATGAACAGGTGGTGTCTAAAACTAACGGTGCAAATGGATTGAGCGATAAAGAGGCACAATTGGCTCGTTTGTCTCAGATATATAGAGATCTATTGGAAACTATTGGCGAAGATCCTGATAGACAGGGCTTACTTAAGACACCGGAGAGGGCGGCAAAAGCAATGTTGTATTTCACGAGTGGATATCAGTTCAATCTGAATGATATTTTGAATGAAGCGGTCTTTGATGAGGACACGGATGAAATGGTTATCGTTAAAGATATTGAAATGTTTTCATATTGTGAACACCATTTGGTACCCATCTATGGAAAGGTATCTATAGGTTATCTGCCCAACAATAAGGTACTGGGATTAAGCAAATTGGCCAGAATTGTGGAAATGTATGCGAGAAGACTTCAAGGTATGCTTAGATTTACATGTTTTCAAATAATTAATATTTAATAATAAAATGCTATTTTTATAGTTCAGGAAAGACTAACTAAACAAATAGCCGAAGCACTGGTAGAAGCCATTAATCCGGCCGGAGTTGGTGTTGTGGTTGAGGCCAAGTAAGTGTTATATTTATAATTAATAAAATAATTGATAATTAATATATTAATTGTATAATTATTGACTATACAGCCACATGTGTATGAGTAGTCGTGGGGTACAAAAAATCAATAGCAAAACAATAACCAGTTGTATGATCGGAGAGTTCAGAGATAATCCCAAAACTCGAGAGGAGTTTCTATCATTGGTTTAAATTAATAAATAATCTCTTTTAGTAATTAAAATAATTAAATTTTTATTTTCTTTTATTGTAAAGTTATAATATTTTATTAAATTTTTGTATCTGTTACTTACATATTGTTAACTAGTTTTATAAATATAGATTTATTATTTTAATATATTTTTATTTATTTTTAACTTAAAATATATATACTAACAAAATTAATAATTATATTAATTATCATAAATATCCTATTATTGTAATTATTGACATTTTTAAAATAAAATTATTATATGCAATTAAAAAATTATTTTACAATATTTTAATACTATTTAAAGTTTATAATAATAAAATTAATTATGTTAGTTAATTAATATACTTTTTTGAAAATATATAATTACTTTAATTATAAATTAAATTTAAATATTAATTATATAAAATAATAAATTTTAATAAATTAATATTTTTAAAATATTTTATTTAAACAATTCTACATTGAATTATATTTTATATTAACAAAACCAAACAAAGATAAACACTAACAAAATAAAATGTTATTTAATGATTAATTTTATCAAATATATTTTTACAATAATAAATAAATCCAGTATTTTTATTAAATGGCCCAACGATATAATTAATTATATTGCACTGGTAGTACAGTTTTCATAACTGATTGTCATTAAAAATGTGAGGTACAGGTAAGTAAAGTTTATAGAATAATAAGCTATTAGTAATAATAGTCAAAACTATAGATATTAGTTTTACCTTAATTGTTCAACTATTAATAGTTATTAAATGTATTGTTATTTTTAATTATATTAAATAAATATACAGTATATATTTGCTGTATTTGCAAAATGTAAATGTT